CTCCATATTGCTGCTGGAGAAGGAAGAAAACTCTGTTTGAGGCAACAATTGCATTAGGAAAACAGTCCTATCTTTGGGTTGTTGTAGGTTTTTTCGGGCTGTATGGCCAAGTTCTAGAGGCATTCTCTCCTGACATTTCACCTGCATCTATGGCAAGCATCCTCTGAGCATGCTTGCCATAGATGCAGGTGAAATGTCAGGAGAGAATGCCTCTAGAACATGGTCATATAGCCTGAAAAACCTACAACAACCCAGTGATTCCGGCCATGAAAGCCTTCAACAATACAGTCCTATCTTTCTCCAGCTATTCATTTGTTCTTTCATTCAATTTCTGTCTTCATATCAGTATAGAAACTCACAACACACATTCAAACAAATCGCATATAAAAATTCTAGTGACAGAAAGTTTTTTAAAAAACCACTACCTACCATATTAAAGCAACAATCAAAGATATGTGCAAACATTTCAAAACAATAAAAGTAAGAGCCAGCATGTTGTAGGGATTTGAGTCTAGACTAGGATTCTCAAAGACCAGAGTTGAAACCATGGAAGGCCAGAGTTGAAACCACAGTCTTTCAGTATAAGAAGAAGGGAATAGCGAACAGCATCTGAATAAATTTTGTTTTTTACCATGGTTATCATTTAGCAGCTGCTTCAACAAGCAGAGTTGCCAGATCTGAAGACTTGGAACTGAGGCTGCAATTTTCATGGGTCATCTCCAGCCAGAAGAAAAGCATACAAATTCGCCAATTGCTTTTCCTCGGGCAAAAGGAAAGGACTGTGTGCAAATCTCCAGCTCAGCTATGAGAGCACCAGCTTGCTACAATTTCTAAAGCTTAATTGATTTCTTGCTACAACCTGCAAAGTCTCTCAGGGGAGCCTATGAATCTCACTAGGTTTTTCTTCCCTCCCAGGCACTTTTACGTCAGGACTTACCTTCTGCTCAGCTCTGTATCTACCCCTTGACTAAGGGGAAATTGGCTAAATTAAATCCCCTTTCTCCCACGAATCTCATTTGGTGAGAAAGGGGGGAAAAAACCCACATTTCATCTTATCTGGAGTCAACCCCTATATAGCTAAGATTTCTGTCTCAATTTCCAAATAGCAAAATAAGCCTCTTCCCACATGCATTTGAATACCCAAGTGTACATCATTCATGACACTTAATGACATCACTAGGGACTATCCATAGTTATTAGGTTTTGGCTTAGAAACCGCAGGACCTGGAATGATCCTGAAATGGCAATTCTAACTCCTTCTGAGGTCTAAACTTTTTCTAAGGCAAGCCATAGACTCATAGCCAAAAACAAGAGTTCTGGATATGAATCTGTGGCTTAGAAATCCTAGCCATATTTCGGGCTAAGCTCTCTACACCTTCTTCTCTAATCTAGGGGTGTATACATGTGTGGGTGTTTGGGTGTTTTCCTAATTTGTTAGTTGTGGTATGCTTTATTTGAATGACATATAGTGTGAAACTGTTGTATCGTGCATAATTGACAATGGTTCCCTCTTCTAACATCTCTTTTGTAATGTGGCCCAGGCCTGTCTCCTATGGCATCACAAGTAGGTATCCCAAGATCTCAGGTTTTGGCCTTGAAATCTTGAGATAGTTGTGGTGTGGTCATCCTAGACAATTCTACATCTATGAATTTTGAACTTTATGGCTTAGATCCTGAAACTAAGGCCCGGGGTTCTGATACAGCCCTCCAAGGTCATTTAGCCAGTCCTCACTCAGGGTAAACCTAAGTCTGAAACGGCTTGAAACCACACAACAAAAACAACAATCCTATCTCATCAGCCAAAAGCAGCCCTACACTTTCCATTGAAATACTAATAAGATTATATTTGTTAAGATTATTATTAATTTTAATTATTGTATTGTTTTTATGTGTTTTTTGCACTACAAATAAGATGTATGCAGTATGCACAGGAATTCATTCATGTTTTTTTTTTCAAATTATAATCCAAACCTCGAACAGTTTGAGGGACTGTGACCTGGCCCTCTGTTTAATAAGTTTGAGGACCCCTGGCTTAGAGGCTCAATGTTAACTATATACTGACTTGTGCCCCCCCCCCAAGCTTTCCTCCTTTGCTTTTCTCCCTGCATCAAATTGATCCTAATTCTTGCTTTTTGCACCCCAAAAAGGAGAGTGAAGTCACTGCATAAAACATTATCATTCCACCTTAATTCACCAGCTGTTGGGATTTCTGGAAGTTGAAGTCCAAAACACCTGGGGACCCACAGGTCGAGAACCACTGAATTAGTCTTCCCACTGACTCATGAATCTAGGTCCCCATCATACAGGGTGCTGATAGGAGAAATTGGTTACACAAGAATCACCCAAAAAAGTATCTCTTTGTCAATCAAATGTCAAATGCTCTTCCTGAATTGTTCATATCCATTATTTTCTTACACCAATGTTCCTTCCTCCTATCTCCCCAACTTTTTTTGTTGTTGTTTCCGTTTTCTCTCATCCAGGTCTTCTCCCCAGTAGATATAATTGTAGCACAATAAAGTGTCCATAACAGAAAAAACAAAGACTTCTGACACTTTACAGTTTAATAAACCCATCAGAGGATATGCTTAGATGCTTAGAGTTTGAAAAAGGAACTCTTAAGTAATCAGCTTAGCTACTAGAAAAGAAAATGGGGACATCTAGTGGAATTCTGAAATATTTGCAGCATCTCTCTGTGATCTGTGGCATGATAATCCATCACTTACTTCTACCATCCTATGTGTGTATATATTTGCCTTCAAGTCACATGTTGACATATGGCAATCCCATAAATCTCATAGACAAGAAATACTCAGAGGTGTTTTGTCTATTCCTTCCTGTGAAATATCGCCAACAGTTGCTGAATGCATTAGCAGTCTACTGTCAAAATAACCCTGCAAAGATTCCAACATCAGATAGGATCTGGTACCTTTAGGATATTTAGGCCTTGAGATGTTGCTGCTCACCATGTATATATCATTCTTGGATGTTCAGAGAAGCAATCCATGCCCACCCCGGCTGCTATGAAGTTTGGAATAGTTGTTATGTGATTTCAGCTACCACAAGAACTATAGATTTAGGGCCCAATGTGTCTAGCTCTGAAGGACTGAATGAGACACAGATGGGTTGAAGGCAATGATCAGAAGCTTTATTCTTGATGGCCAAAGAGGATGTCAGCAGAGGCAGTGCTCCAAAAAACTGACATGCCACAATTGCAAACGTACAGGTTTATTCATGGCACTTAGCTATTCAATGCAGACTAGGATCCACTTCCAGATAGCTCCAAGATTCTGTCTGATATCATTCCTGGTTGGTCCTGGTTGTAGCAGGAAATTCAAGAAACTGTCGCTGGATTATTTAGAAGGTTTGTGTCCATTAATCAATCCAACTAGGAGAGGAGGTATGAGCAGAAATGAATGTGGTGGGACAAGAGGTAATGGGATGAAATGGGATTTGATGTTTCTGCTCTGGTTAATAAAATAGGTGCCAGTAAGGTAAACAAAAGGGTGCTCACATTGTTGGCAATTTCAATGGAGATTCCTAGGAAGGGGTCCAATTCCCAGGAATAAAATCAGATCATATCAGGAAAAACAAAAAAATGATTCAGTGGCTCTCTCTTAAACCCATTGTATGTTCTTTACCTGTCTGGGGTATTGTGAAAAGATTGTGCTAACTAATGTGTAGCTTGAGATCTGAGGTGTGTGGCATGCAACATTCCAGTGGGTTCAATAAAAGATAGTCTGAAACTAGGAATGAAGTCAACTTGAGCTCCCTAATTCATCCCGATGGAGCTACAAGCTATAGGGTTCCTCATTTTGGGAGCCTGTTTTTGGCAACATTGTGGGGATGGATAACAGTTCTGCATTGCAAATAATTTCTACAAGTTCTAAGTTTCTACAGGAACATTCCTGCAACATGTGGCATATGGAGCAGTTTTTGAAACACATTCTGAAACTTCACCTAGTACAAAATGTTGCAACAAGACTCAACTAAGGTCATTTAGAGAGAGCACAAAGGATTCCCTTGTTATTATAATCTCACTGCTTTTTTTGCAGGAACAACTTGAAGAACTGCTTATTACTAGACTGAAGCCTGATATTGACATGGGTTCAGGATTTCTGAAGGAATGTGTTTTCCCATAAAGTCAACATGGGTTCTAAGATCTTCAAAGGAAAATCTTCTCTGCTTCTGGTTGAACATTCCTTATCCAGAATTCCAAAACACTCCGAAACTCAAAATTGTCCACTTGGAGATAGTGAGTGGAGATAGTGGCTGAAATAGTGAAAAGTTTGCTTCCTGATGGTTCACTGTAAACAAATGTTGTTTTGTGCATAAAATTATTTAAAATATTGTATGAAATTACATTCAGGATACATGTATAAGTTGTTTATGAAACATGGATTATTTGTATGTTTAGACTTCAGTGTCATCTCCCAGCTGCCTCATAATGTACCTACCTATATGCAAATACAAGCATTTCAGATAAGGGATACACAACCTGTACCACCTTTGCCACAAGGTTTCCCTGATTGTCACATAGACAAGCTAAGTACTTTTTATTCAGACCCTTTTGGTAAATGATCTCGCTTCTATGGAAAGGTCTTTTAACTGGGTAGGTGATGTGTTTTTATATTTTTGAACTATGTTTAATATTTGTGCTTGTATTCCCTTTGTAATTGTACTTATTCTGTCTTATTATAAACCACACTGAGTACCATTCGTGGGAGAAAGGTTGAATATAAATCAAATAGATAAATAAGGCATGCCAGTATATAAATGGATAATTGAGTGCACTTGGCTTGTTGGCCAAAGCTTGCTCAGGCCTACCTTATATCATTAATCCTACATGTAATGTTTATTTATATTTGTATTCCCTCCATTTTCAAAGGAGGTCACGGGGAAATATGACACAAGCCTTGGGAAAATAATGTTTTGGGCTATAATTCCGATAAACTCATTGCCGAGATTCTGGGAGCTATAGTTGAAAAGTAGTTCTTCAAAGATAGGAACTCTGTCTGTTAGACGAAACAGCCTTATAACAACCTGAGGCCCTTGGTGAGCTATACGTTTGTGCAAATCAAATAGCCACTATCCTAATTGTAGACAGAGAGTGAATGTCTTTGCAGCTCAAATCACAGTTCAATTTATGTTCAGTTTCTTAGAATGATCTTTACTAGACAGCCTTTCCTGCATGACCTCTTCTGAATGTTTACTTCTTCTTTTTCGTTTTTGGGAGGACTTCCTTTCCCTTCTGCAAATTGACGTGAATGAAGATCTGAGATGGTATTGTAGCATTTTCACTTTCAACTGTGTAGAGCGCCTGCGCACCTCTGCTCATGTCTCTCTGAAATCCCTGGACCACACCTCTAGGGCTCAAAACTTGAATAGATACGTTTGGCTTTTGGGAGGAAGCTGGTGCACCCTTCACCACTGTACGAATGTTAATATTTCGGATGCGTGGTGCCTTTCTCAGCACCGGTCTTGTAAAGATCTGATGGATTTCATGTGCCTCAAGAGTACGTCCTGCAAATGTATGTTTCCAAGAGGTTTTTCTGATGGTGAAGTTAGAAGAAAAAGGCCTAATGGGGATTTTCTGTCTAATTTGGTACCCTCTCCATGCAGCTTGGATTGTAGTGGCAGCGGCCTGGTATCTTTGCGTCTGGGCAAAGACATTTAAAGATCTGTATGTGAAGACTTCCCTGTTGGGTCTGAGAGGTGACTTGATTTCAAAGAAGGATACTTTGGGGTTCAAAACAGGATAGTCTTCTATGACGTGTTTGGGACAGCTCCTTGGTCTGCCTTTTGGGAGGAAGATGCTCTGTTTCTCAGTGTCTGTTCCAGATGCCAAACCAAATTTCTGGAGGCAACTTAGGAGCTCTGGACAGCACTCGCCTTCATTTTCAGTTCTTGCTTTCCTCTGGAATTTTGGTCTGTCAGTTCTGGCATACCCACTCAGTCCCAAGGGAAGTTCTTTCCGTGTTGCATGGCCTCGGAAAGCTGCCTGAATTTTGGTAGCCGCTTCATTTATTGCGTCAATGTTCCTCCTAACTTGATGACCTCTCCAGGCAGACTGGATTGTGATAGCTGCTTCTTTTTCCTGCTGTTGCTGCTGGCGTGTCTTTCTTTTGTAGGTGGGCAGCAGGTTAATAACTTCATCCACACTTACACTACTGTCACTCTGAGAATGGTATGGATCTCCCTGTTGATGAACAAAACGTGTTTTTTTGCGAGTGTGAGGATTCCTTCTTCGGTCAGAACCTGCCCTTAGATCATCCTTATAAGAATAAGTTGAGGTTGGGAAGCGTATGTGTCCATATCTATCCCTCAGATATTTTGCATTATCTTGTGAAGAACTGTTAGCTTTTTTTGTATTGGAAACATTTTGTTCACGATCACTGTCATGAGAAAACACATCCGATTCTTCACTTGAGTACTCCAAATCTTCTTCCATTGTACTGTTTGTATTTCTTTTGTGTTCTTCTGGAGCAAAGAAGCTACACTCTTGCTATAAATATCTCTTCCACACTTTCTTTGAAAGCTCTCTGAATGAGAAAGAAAGTAATTTTCATTGTCTGTTAGGTTGTTTTCCTATTTTCCTTCCCTGGTAAAGTAGTAGTCTGATAGTCACAATTAGGGCTGCAAAATAGAATCAGATGAATCAGAAGATTAATCAACTAAATCTTTGGTTGATTGATCTTTTTTTGTCATGTCAGAAGCGACTTGAGAAACTGCAAGTCACTTCTGGTGTGAGAGAATTGGCTGTCTGCAAGGACGTTGCCAGGGGATGCCTGGATGATTTTGATGTTTTTATCATCCTTGTGGGAGGCTTCTCTCATGTTCCCGCATGAGGAGCTGGAGTTGATAGAGGGAGCTCATCTGCCTCTCCCCAGATTCGAACCTGTGACCTGTCGGTCTTCAGTCCTGCCAATGCAGGGGTTTAACCCACTGCACCACTGGGGGCTCCGATTGATCAATAGGACTCAATGTTTATTATAGGAACAAATTTTAACCACTGGGGAAGTTATGGATACCCTTTATTTCTTAAGAGTATTTTGGTACAGCTTTCTTAATGTAATAGGAAACTGAAAAGAAAATTAATATTTAACAAACTGCTCTTCTCAAAGTAGTTACTGCTGCAGGGACCAATAAACAGTGGCCTTGGGTCATTCAATAGTAATTAAAGGTACTGGAGGAACAGGGGAGTATAACATTCTAACTTCACATTCAAATGGGCCGTCTAACACTACATATATGTTCTTGTGCTGGCATGGCTGTGTCAGGAGATTTGCTTTTTCTTGCACTGTTAGTTTGCATGAATCCATTTGGCCCATGCATTTTGCAATTGGGTAGCTTTCCCCAGGTTGCAGTCAAAGGGCCAACAACCTATCAATCATCATTAGAGCCTTTAGATATACCCCTTTCCCCAGTTTTGGAGGGGAAAGGGGACTTTTAGTTCAGTCTCACAGTTTGGAGCCTTACAGCAGGACGTGTAGGCTTTCTCTGTCCCACCTGCAAAAAGCTTCACTTCTTACAGCTTTTGCTGGAGGAAAAGGAAAACCTCTACAGCTTTGCTGGGGAGTAAAGTTACAGTTCCACAGCTTTGCTGGGGGAATACAGCCAGCTTTGCTGGAAAATAAAGGAATGGTTCCACGGCCTTCGTGGGGCAAATCTACAGGACACCAGCTTGGCAGATCTACAGCAACCATTGCCTGGTAAGGGACCACTCAGGCTATCCATAACACAGCTTGGAGCCGGGAGTTGGGGCCTCACGCCAGCAGGGTAAAGAAAGATTGCCCAAGGAAGGGTCGGAAGGTTTCCCTAAAGAAGATAGGAACAGTTTATCAAGCAGTTGTCTGTCCCTTGTTGGCAAATCGAGAAAGCTACTAGTTTTTCAAGATTATAAAGCATTTAATTCGTTTGTTTGAAGATTTAAGCCTTAATAAAGAACTTTGTTGAACCTATTTTGAGCCTCTACAGAACTTTGTGTTGTGAAACCTATGGGACCCTTTAGCTGAGGCACCCCAGCGTCCCGTTGGGCATACAGAAAGCATGTCCTGTAAACAGACATTGTCATAGGCCCAGCGCACGACAGCACAGTTCTTTTTGTTGCATTGTTTCTTCTGTCGTGAATTCATTAACAAAGGAAGTGTATGTCTCCTGTGGAGAAAAGTTACAACTTCCCAATGTATTTTGCTTAAGAACAGTGCCAATATCGCTTTCTGAAGTGTGGCCAAAATAGTGCCTTGGGTTTCCCAATGGCCAACATTTTAAAATGCCCTACCACACAATTCAAACACTAGTTCCTACCATCAATAGATTCCTATACTGCAGATAGATTCCTATACTGCATGATAGTACCAGCCCTCCTTAAGAATATACAGTGAGTACCAGTCTGATGCCTACGATCTTACCTTATAAACAACTCCTCAACATTATCCTTATTTCTGCAAAATATCTTCTTGAAATAATGTTCAGCAACACTGAGCTGGAATATTAAAAGGAATAAAACTTTTTGTAGTAAAGGGCAGTTGGACAAGATTCATCCACTTTGGATCCATCTACAATGCCATATACAGTATATTCTGGCGTATAAGACTACTTTTTAACCCAAGAAAATCTTTGCAAAAGTCAGGGGTCGTCTTATACGCAGGTGTAGTCTTATGCATGGGAGTCGTCTTAACTCTATATTTTAACTGGAAAAGTTGGGGGTCGTCTTATACGCCCAGTCGTCTTATATGCCGGAATATACGGTAATCCAGTTCAAAGCAGATAATCTGAATTCAGAGATTAGATTACATAGCAGTGTAGATGGGGCCTGAGCCACCTCAGCTTTCTCCTAGTTTCACATTGTATGTGTGGCACACTAGGCCATTTACGGGTTTGTCCTTCCCCTTACACTTCATTTGGGTTCTTCATCATCCTCATTCCACAACTGGACCATATATGTGTTTGTCCTTCCCTAATTTTAAAGGTTACTTTGAGGTTCATTCCTCAAATGCCACAATTGCAAAGCTTTTCTTGTTTGTCTTTTTTGACTTTAAAAACACAACAAAAACATTTTTAGAACTGGCCAGAGTGACGTTTTAGCGACATCATGGGTAAAACCTTTAGYTCTATGTGGAACCTGCCCGGGCCCTGAGATCTTCAGGAGAGTCCCTTCTCTTGGTCTCACCTCCATCTCAGTGGCATCCATATTTGCTACACAAGAATTACATTTAAAACTCATACACATAATACATATAATACCTCAATAAATCCTGACAGGTCTCACCTCCAYCTCAAGCTCGATTGATGGGTACTAAAGTGGGTCTTTTCGGTGGCTGCTCCACAACTCAGGWACTCCCTGCCCAGGGAAGCCAGAATGGCCCCCTCCCTGCTGTCCTTCTGGTGGCAGGCTAAAACCATGTTATTGWGGCAGTTTTTTAAAGATGAAGGTGTTTAAGATATAGTCAGTGTTTACTGTGGTTCTTAACTGTTTTGATGGATTTTAACTATGATGTATACTAATGCTTTCATGTCAGGCCGCTTTGAATCCCCTTTGGGGAGATAAAGCAGGATAATATTATTAATATTAATTATTATTATTATTATTATTTAATGGTGAAGAGCTGCAATCCAACATCTGGAGAGCATCCAATGTACTACTTCCTTAGCAACATTCAGACAGCTATTCTCTCCTATGTTTAATTTCTGTTGTGGGATCAACTTAAAATGGCTGGATAGTGCTTTTTGCTCAATAAATACATTTTGAATACATAATATATTGAAATTATACTCAGCATAAGGTTAACTTTAGATACAATCAATTCACAAAGGTGTTTGTTTCCAGTCAAGATAGTGCTTAGGATATTTCTGTAAAACTCTGTTGTAGGAACCAGGAGACATCAGCTTCAGAACATGAACATCACAGTGAATATAGACCATATAGAAAATCAAGGCTATAACTATACAGACCAGATAATACTTCCTTCACCCTAAACTGGCAAAAAGAAGAGAACAGCTGCCCATGGCCCCATCCACACTGCCACATAATGCAGTTTGAACTGCTCTATGTGGTCAGTGTAGATTCATATAATGCAGACTGAATTGGATTATATAAGTCTATACTGCTATATAATCCAGTTCAATCTGCATTGAACTAGATTATATAGCAGTGTAGATGGGGCCATAATTTACATGTATCAATGCTCCTCTTGTTCCACTCCACAACAGAAGTGATACAACCTTTTACGATAGCCATGAGAACAGTGGTCACACTTTTTTTTTGTTTGGGAATTAATGTCCTAATACATGGATACTCTAACTGTCCAATAGCACTGTATTCATATTAATGTTATTTGAATTCTTTCATTGGTAAAGGATGCTATTTGCATATTCAACAAATATTTACTTATCCAAGAGAAGGGTATGCTAAAAAATAAATTGTGTTGAATTTATATCCGTTATCTGTATCTCATGCAATAATATTTACCAATACACCTCAAGCTATAGGAGACTGCCTATTTCCAGCTCATATGTGCCAAGGACCAATTCCATATTTTTGCCCATTGGAACAGGTTTCTATGAGCCAATACTTTGAACAGCACAGCTTTAAACTATTGGGGGGGGGGGGGCTTTATCTGAACCTAAATGGCTCATGAAAAGCTTTTTCTCACAAGCTGACATTAATGTATTGAGAATTTGAATACAGGACAAGAATTAATTCATTGGCTAATTCAGGTACATATGAAATTGTTTGTTTTGATTCTTTCCTTACCAGAATCTCCAAATCTATCAGTGTAGCTGAATGCCTCTCAAAACAGGAGAATCTTTTCAAAGGCAAAGAGCTATTCACCACAAAAATTGAAAACATGAATTTAATTAAGCCAGAATGTTAAGTTTCAAAGGAGGTTGACAGGCTGTGGAGAAATATTGAAAAGTTCACTAGTGAGATGATCAGAGGGTGATAGGTGCATATTCATAACACCTAAGAGCTCACCTAAAATTGACCAGTTCCCTTTCCTTGTTCAAGGCATATATAAGACTGTTGGCAAAACTACATGCCAGAATAGCATAATCATTATGCTGAAAAATGGGACTCAATGAGATTCAAGGACATAGATCAATACCGGTACTTACCAACAGTACTGGTACTTACCTAAAATCTACCCAACTTTCAATACCAAATGCAGGATAATCTGGCTATAATGTTAAATGATGAGTCCTATCACTTCACATGGACACCCATTACACATGGAGTTCTACCTCTCAAATGGGCAGTCTTGGAGCTGCAGAAATCCCTAATGTGCCTTTCACAACTTCTCATTAAAGGACTATAATCCCAAATATCTGATCAAGGCCAAGCAAGTATCATTCATACCTTCATAAGCAGTTGTCCCAAACTTCAATTGTTGCAAACACAGTAGCCCTTCTGATCAGATGAGCTAATCAAGCATCGATGCTAGTGCTGTAGCATCACTACCGAAATGCCATTATTTCTTGGGCAATACTACTGGTGCTAATTTTGACTTCCCTGACTTCAGCCAGTGATACTTTCTTTTCTCCTTTGTTCCATCATGCCTT